TATTCCATCTTCTTCTATTTTCTGTGTGAGAATATGGAGAACTGGCATTATTTTTTCGTAAAATGTTTGGTAGAATTCCCCAGTGAAGCCAGCAAAACCATCTGGACCTGAGGTTTTCTTTGTGGGAAGGTTCTCAACTAAAAATTTAATTTCTTTAAGAGATATACGACTATTAAGTTACCTATTTCTTCTTGAGTAGACATTAGTAGTTTTTGCCCTTTAAGGAATTGGTCCTTATCACCTCAGTTGGCAAATCTATTGGCACATCTTTGTTCAGAATATTCCCTATTATTCCTTTAATAACTGTGTGATATCAGCTCTCTCATTCCTGATACTGGTAATTTGTGTCCTTTCACTTTATTCCCTGAACAGTCTGGCTAGAGGTTTATCAGTTTCTTTGATCTTTAAAACAAAAACAAAAACAAAAACCCAGCTTTTGGTTTTCTTGATTTTTCTCTTTTTTCCTGTCTTCTATTTCATTGCTATCCACTCGAACTTTTACTATTTTCTGTCTTCTGATTACTTTGAGTTTGATTTGCTCTTCGTACTCTCGTTTCCTAAAATGGAAGCTGAGGTCACTGATTTGATATCATTCTTCTTTTCTTACATATGCATTTATATAAATTTCCTTCTAAGAACTTCAGTAGCATCCCACAGTTTTTAATATGTGTTTTCATTTTCATTCAGTTCAAAATACTTGCTAATTTCCATTTTGATATCTTCTTTGCTCCATGAGTTATTTAGAAATGTGTTACTTTTGTCCAAATATTTGGGGGTTTTCCAGAAAGCTATCTGCTATTTTTTTATTTAAGTATAGTTGATTTACACTGTTGTGTTAATTTCTGCTGTACAGCAAAGTGATTCAGTTATACATATATACATTCTTTTTTATGTTCTTTTCCATTATGGTTTATCACAAGGATATTAAATACAGTTCCCTGTGCTATACAGTAGGACCGTGTTGTGAAAGCTATCTGCTATGGATTTCTAATATAACTCCATTATGGCCAGAGAACGTTTATAATACTTAAATTCTGTTAAGGTATTGAGACTTGTTTTATAGCTAGAGTATAGTCCATTCTGTTTAATATACTGTTACTTTAAATGAATATGTCTTTTTGTTATTGAGTGTATTCTTCTATAAGTATCAACTAGGTCAAGTTGATTGATAGTGTTGTTCTAGTCTTCTGTATCCTTACAGATTTCTCCTCACTTGTTCTATTAATTATTGAAATAGGATATTGTTATTGCTGACTACAGTTGTACATTTTTCTCTTTTTCACAGCAGTTCTATCGGCTTTCACTTCATGTATTTTGAAGCTGTGCTATGAGGTGAACAAACATATAGGATTGCTAAGTCTTCTTGATGAACTAATTCCTTAAACATTATGAAGTGACCCTCTTTATCCCTGGAATATTCTTTGCATTGAAGTCTACTTTGTCTGATATTAATTTAGCCATTCTGGCTTTCTTTGGATTAGTTTTATCATTGCATACATTTTTCATGCATTTACTTTTAAGCTATTGTGTCTTTATATTTAAAGTGGGTTATTGGGACTTCCCTGGTAGCACAGTGGTTAAGAATTCACCTCTCAATGCAGGGGACACAGGTTCGATCCCTGGTCAGGGTACTAGATCCCACGTGCATGGCATAACTAAGAGTTCACATGCCACAACTAAGGAGTCCACCGGCCGCAACTAAGACATGGCACAACCAAAAATAAATAAATAAAATTTTAAAAAATGGATTAAAAAAAAAGTGGGTTATTTGTAGGTCAGCATATAGATGGATCTTGCTTTTTTATCTAATCTGACAGTGCCTGACTTTTAAATGGGCTGTTTAGATTATTTACATTTAATGCAATTATTGACACATGGGTTTAAATCTACAATCTTGTTATTTATTCTCTCTTTGTCCTGTTTTTTGTTTCCCTTTCCATCTTTATCTGTCTTCTTTCACATTAACTATTTTTTAATTATTTCATTTTATCAACTTTTTTGGCTTGTTAGACATATAACTCTTTGTTGTATTATTTTAGCTTCAGGGTCCCTCATAAACATCTTTAATTTACCAGTCTACTTTCAGTTGATATCATACCACTTGACAAATATAGTATAAGAACTTTTCTTCAGGCTTCCCTGGTGGCACAGTGGTTGGGAACCCGCTTGCCAATGCAGGGGACATGGGTTCGAGCCCTGGTCCAGGAAGATTCCCACATGCCGTGGAGCAACTAAGCCCATGCACCACAACTACTGAGCCTGCGTGCCACAACTACTGAAGCCCACACGCCTAGAGCCTGTGCTCCACAACAAGAGAAGCCACTGCAATGAGAAGCCCATGCACCGCAACAAAGAGTAGCCCCTGCTCGCCGTAACTAGAGAAAGCTTGCGCACAGCAACAAAGACCCAACGCAGTCAAAAATAAATAAACAAATACATTAATTTTTTTAAAAAAAGACCCTTTCTTCCATTTCTCTTATTGGCATTTGTACTGTTGCCTTCATATATTTTATATCTACATGTTTTTATCTCCATAATAAATTTATTATTTTTTTGCTTTAAACAATAAATTATATTTTAAAGAAAATAAGAAATGAGGTCTTTATATTGCCTATGTAGTTATTATTCCCAGTGCTCTTCATTTTCATCTGATACCATTTTTCTTCTGCTTGAAGGACTTCCTTAAACATTTTTTGTTCTGTAGGTCTGCTGGTGACGAATTCTTTCAGTTTGTGAATAATATCTGAAGTCTTTATTTTGCCGTAATATTTGAAAGATTTTTCATTAGGAGATGATTTCTATACTGACAGGTTGGTTTTTTTTTTCTTTTAGTTTTTAAAGATGTTCTTCCACTTTCTTCTCACTCTTATTGTTGCCAACAAGAAATCTGCTGTCAGTCTTATCTTTATTCCTCTTGTAAATAATAAATGTCTTCCTCTCTGTGTACTTATAAGATTTTTCTCCTTATCACTAATTTTAAGCAGTTTTATTATGATTTTCCTTGGTTTCTTTTCTCCATGTTTCTTGTGCTTAGAAGTTGTTGAACTTCTTGGATGTGTGGGTTATAGTTTTCACAAAATTTGGAAATTTTTCAGACATCATTTCTTCCAATATTTTTCTGTTCTCTGCTTCTTCCCTTCAGAGACTCTAATTATTCAGAGATTAGGCCATATGAAGCTTTTCACATCGCACTGATGCTGTGTTCATTTTTTTTTTCCAATATATTATTTTTTCTTCTCTGGCTTTCAATTGTGAATAGTTTCTATTGCTATCTCTTCAAGTTCACTAATATTTTCTTCCACAGTGTCTAATCTACTATTAGTCACATTCAGTATATTTTTCATGTCATACATTGCAGTTTTCATACCTAGAAATTTGATTTGAGTCTTTTTCTATCTTCTATGTCTCTATTTAACATGTTCATTCTTTCCTCTAGCTTCTTGAATATATGGAATACAATGATAACAACTGTTTAATGACATGAGTATTAATTCTATAATCTGCATCATTTCTGGGTCAGTTACAATTGATAGATTTTTCTCTTTATTATAACTCTGGACTAAGTGAGCTGAAGCATCTCTGTCTCCGTGTCCCATGGTTTGCCCTTGTCATTATTGCAAGTTGACGCTTTGTGTGTTTCCAGTTTACAGCATTGACTCTGCCCCAGAAATCTTTCTTATTACCTACTCCAAATATAACACCACATCAACTGGGACTTGCTTTGAGTTTGTTTGCCCCTTCTTGGGAACTGTGTGTTTAGGACTCTACTAGCACTGGCCAGCTTGTGAGATAGCAAGTTACTGTCTCCCTCATCCTTCTGCCTGGGTTTCTCAATTAATGTACCCTACTCATTCACTGAGGTATCTACTACCACACTTGGCACTCACTGGCAGTTGTTTGACTGGATTTTGGCCTACAGACTGTGTAGTTTTGTGGCCAAGAGTGACTTATAGATTACGGTTACTTAAGTTTTGCATTCCGCCCCAATTGCTTAGTAGCTATGACCTCAAGTAAGTGATTAACACCGCTATATTTCAATTTCCTCACCCATAATGATAGTAACGACACCTACCTTATCAGGTTGTTGTTAAGAGTACATGTAACAATGCGGTATAGAGAAATTAAAATAGTGTCTGTCTCGATTTGCTGTAGTCACTGTTAGAGTAAGAATTCTAGACTCTAGAGATCTGACTCTGTAGATCACATTCCCAGCCATTATGTAATGTTCTAATGCCTTTTGGACAGTCTGCTTTGCATGCTAGAGAAAATTTCCCTTCTGTATTTGTGGCTGAGCCAGTTTCTCTGGTGCCTAAATGCCCCTGTTCTGCTTTCAGCCCTAAGCACATCGCAAATGTCTATCCAGCCAGAAGTAGTTGGCTAATAGCTTTCTAAGTCTTGAAGTGCAATAGGACTTGTTTTTGTCAACACTAGGTAAAATCAAAAGACAAATGAAAAAGAAAAAAGAAAGCATTTAGGAAAGGTAAATCACCTTTCTTCCTTATTGCTAATTTTTTCTTCTAAATCTATTTTTAATTTTATCTTACCAAGTCAGAGAAAAACAAACAGGAATGGCACTTTTGGTACCTTACAAGCCAGCAATTTTTTGTCTCCTTGATTTTTCTTTCACTGTTCAATATTTCATATTCAGAAGATGGAGAAAAGGTTAGGAATACATATAGAACATTAAATTTTTTAATTAATAACCAAAATGGATATAAAGAAAGAAGTTTCAATAATTATAGAGTAAAGCAGCAGCTTGTCTAAAACACAGATACATACTGAACACCAACTTTTCACTTCTAAAAATATCTAAGAAACACTATCAAACTAAGTGGTATATACTTTCAAGCTTATTTTAGAAAAATTAATATTGATATTTTGAAAACAAATTTAAAACCTAATGAAATTTCCATCTAAGCCAGGAAGCATCATGATCTGACTGCTTGGGAATCTTGAAATTAACATTTCTTGTTTTGAGGTGAATGGCTCATAAACATTACCTGTTCTGTAGGATTAACTTGTATCCTTCTAGTGATGTTCCCTCAGTGGCCTTGACTCTGACTGGATGACCAATAGCTAGGCAGCCCTGAGTTATCGCTCGGCTCAGGATCATTCCAGTCTTCCAATGAATAGAGAAGGGGCAGAAAGGTCTAAATAAGTTAAAAGAACCAGAAAATTCAACAATGTGTCACAAATAGTGAGGTCATTATGCCTGGATAAACCCGGATATTAACAGTTGCCAAAAGTGAAACACTACCCACAACTTAGCAGTCAGTGAGCCCTGCTCAGAATCAGTGATGTTCTGTCGGACAAGGGTGGCATTTTACAGTTCAGTGCAAAATAAAACAGACCTTGATATCTTCATTTGTCCTTTTTTTCTGTGCGTATTTCACAGTGCAGCAATTTGGGATCCATCACGCGTCACTTGTTATACTTATAACTACAGAGCTTACTTGAAATATGTATGCACAGAAAAAAAAGAGTGCAGTGAACTGAAAAGACTGAAACAAATCCTTAACCTTTGTACCAATTAAAAGTTCTACTCTGGGTCTAAATACCATGGGTTAAGCATTTTAAGGTGGTTTATGAACAGCTTTTGTTTTAAATGTTAGGATTCTCAGATAAGGAAATTGATTGAGAACATTGTTTGAACGGCCATTTAACAATTTTCTTACTTAGTGAATCAACACAGCATTTTAAATAAGTGACAACCACTTAGGAATTTATTTACACATATTGAGGATTTATGTCATGGAAACTTCTCTGTTAAGAACAGGTAAAATGATTTATTTTGAAAAAAAGGATAGAACTCTAAACCTTAAAAGATTTTCAGAATTGTTTTCTTCTAGCATGTGACTTTTATTTCTCACGTTTTTGTTGTGTGGAAAAGAACTACACAATGACTTAGGAAAAATATATTTTTCTAAATTTTTGTTCTAATAAGCCCTGAATGGAATCCTCTTTTGAACATGCCTGTCTATACAGAAAGGGAACTCCTTGGGGTAAGAAAAAAAGAATCACCACTTATTAAGCACTTTCTGTATACCAGATTGTACGCTTGAACTTCACACGTATTTTCTCATTTAATCACCACAGCAACTGTGCAAGACAGGTGTGACTAACTTTATTTTATATATAAGAAAACTGTGGTTCAGTGCAGCTAAGTAACTTTCCCAAGGTGACACAAAGGATTCTAATTCTGATCTATCTAACTCCAAAACTCATACTCTTTGCATCAAGCATTTCAATTAGTTTAGGAAAATTTTTAGACAAGTACAGGTTTTCTGATATCATGAAATTCTATGAACAGATACCATAGAATTACAGAATATGAGACCTGGGAAAATAACCTTCCATATCAACTGGTCCAACTCTTTTACCAGAAGACTAAGGCCCAGATATGGTATGTGACTTACTTGAGGTCACATAAATGTTCAGTGGCAGTCCTAAAACTAAAACACTTCCATCAGTGCTCATAAATTGGCCAGATATAGGGCAGTGTTTTATATTACAGTGAAATGTCATAAGTTTTGAAGTCAGACAGACCAAGAATCTTTCCTCTACCAGCTACTAGCTTCAGTTTTTTCAGCTGTATAATGAAAACCTGCATAGTTTTTATAAGATTAAATGAGATAATAAATGTGTATAAGATGCTTAGCATACGTTTAACAAAATGGCAGATATTATTACTAAATCAGAAATAAAACGCAGCTTAGGGCTAGTAGTTAATAGAGTCTCCAGGTTGGAAGCAGATTTAAGAAATATCTAATCTCATTCTGCCTTTGTCTATGAAGTGAATAATATTTCTTAGTACCTTTGTGTCTTAGTTACTCTATATTTTTGTTTTTAACTCCCAGAAAAGCAAAAATAAAAGTTAAGGGCAATCCAAAATTTCATATGAGAAAATAGTTTCAATCTCTCCTACCCCCTAAACTAAGTAGCAGCAAACTTGCCTGGGTGACTCTGCACCCATGGAAGTGCTAAAAAGAAGCAAAAATAGTCTCCAGGGAGGGGGCAAAGGGAGGCACAAGAAGGGTAGATATAAGCTGTACCATCTCTTTCCAGACGTAAATATTTGGTGGCAATTACAAAACGTCTTTCAATAGCAAGAGGGAAGAGGAGAACAATTATATGTTCTCAGTTTAAATCTGATTCAATAGTATAAGAATAAAGTTAAAAAAAATAGTGCCAATACACAGGAATAAAATATGTTAGGCATTGTTCACATTTTATACTCAGGGATTTCTTTTAAAACTATCCTTACTGAGACCATATGCCATCACAATACGGTGCTAATCCACCAAGCTCTGCGAACCTCAACAATGAAGACTAAGGAGCGGAAGCAAATGAGATTCAGACAAATCTCATGAAAACGGTGAGTCTGTAGAGTATACCTAAGCTCTGCGCTAGGTTTAAATACATTCTGCAGTATTAACTAATCAGCACGTCTAAAACTGAGTTGAATGCTCACGTCGGGGTCCTCCGCACTAGACAAACCAGAGCACAGATTCATGACAGTCAACAACTGATATGCTTTCACTTGCATGCTTGTGTGCACGAGGGCATCAGGAACTGGAGCAGCACAGTGAGCCCAGGAAGTTACTTAGGGAGAACAGACGTTCTTGGATACCTTTGTGATCAGCCACACGCTGGCTGCAGGCCACAGGGTGGATGGTGCTATGTGAGTCCCACTGCTCTCTTCACCACTTGAGAAATTCCACTTTCTGATGGAAACAGAGGCATGAAGGACAATATTGGGGTTCACCTATACCATGAGAAGAAGCATGTTTTTAACTTACAGTCTGAAAGTTAACCTTCCTCAACATACTTAACCAAAATAATCTAGAACATTATGTTTCTGATTGAGAAGGTCTCTTTTGAAACAGTAGTGTTCAATCCTATTAAACTCAATTCAATTAATATTTGTCGGGCACCAGCTCTGATAGGGAAGGCCCCGGACTGTGTGGTATGGGATATGATAAAACATTTTTCCTGCCCTAAATAAACTTACAACTGTAGAGGCGATAACACACACAATTTCATGTTAAGCTCCATATGTTTGATTAAATAGTGCTATAGTATGCAAAGAATGGTAGGCTCATTTCTGCAGGAGCAACAAAAAGTGAAGCATCTTGAAAGAGGTAACATCCAGACCAGGCCTTGAAGGATGAAAACAGTTTGACAGGAATAATGAAGAATAAAAAGGTATTCCAAGCAAAGGAAAATAGTATAATCAATGCACCTTAGCATTTATTGGTAGTCTCAAAAGGTAAATCTGGCCAAACTTAGAAGGCGTCAAGTGTAAGGCTATGGAGTTAGGTGTCAGGAGGGCTTTCAAGCAAAAGGGACTGGATTACAGAAGATTTAGAAAGGTTGACCTGGCAAGTGTAAACATAATGGATTGCAGAATGGAGAGATCAAATGCAGGGAGAACAGTTGAGAGTTTGTACAACCTCATAAGAATAAAGGGACAGGAGCTGAGACTTCAGTGACAGTTGTGGGAATGAATGGGAGGGGGCCGACTGGGGAGACACTGTATCTCTATCCCATGTGTTTAATCAGATGACAAACGCCAAACGTATTGTGCACCTTCTAGCGTTTCTCACTTAGACCTGATTGTCAAATTAACAGTCATTCATGTCATCTGTCAGAATTCTACTCCTTCATAGTTAATAAACTTTATCTCCTAACTTATATGATCACTTTCCCTGAATAATCATGCTAACTTTTAAAGTGCTAATCCTTATTTGTATAGGATTATGGGAATATGCCAATTTATGCTTTAAACTTAGTAAATGATGTTGCTTCAATAACAGTTAAAATCCTTTTCAAATATTGAAAAGTCTATTCTAAATCTTTGCTAATCCTAGATATTTGTTGAGTAGCAAATGATTTTTTAAAAAAACAAAAGTTAAATAATAATTTAAAAGGTAATGTTTTACAAGTGTGAACAGGCAATAACAAAAGGGTATGACCAATATATTTGATAATTATTCCATAATTATCTATAATTATTCTACAATGGAAGATAGTTACTTCTCTAGAGAAGAAAATGTCATATGACTCCTATATGTGAAAATAAAAATTTAAAAATACAGCAACCCCACCACATAAGCAGATTTGATTTACAGCTCTTTGATTGTGTATTCCCCAGTTAGCCAGTAGTGGCTGATTCTGGAGGGGAATCCCCCGCAGTTTCTGAACAATGGTAAACTATATTCTACTAATCCATCCACCACAGGACACGGCATTTAAAGTAGCACTCTTAGTCAACCTCCTAACTCCAAGTTGCCATCACACTCAAAACTCTCCTCTGAAACTGGGAAGAAGATTGTTTTGACTGGAATGTCAGACAGAAGAATCGTACTGCCAACTGCTTCTTTGTACAGCACCTGCTGCCAGTGCCTAAATTCTTGTTATCTCCACAACATGGTTTAATCTTTTAACAGTTGGCTTATTGGTGAAGAGCGAAGGGGTCCTTTGTGTCTGTCTTGGGTTGGCACCCAGTATTAACACCATGCTGTTCTCTGAGAGATATTTTGCTGGACGGTTCCCAAGTGATTCCACATAGACCAGACAGAGCCAGGCCCACTAACTCAGCTTCATTTCACGTTACTAAAAAAGAAAAATCCTGCCAAGTCTGGGGTTCTAACACACTTAAAACTGACAATGGCCATTAAATTCTCTTCATGATGTCACTTTCCTTTTTCTTTTTCATTTAATCTGATAGCTTTGTTGTAGATCAAATGTTTAGGAAGGTGGGGGAGATAAAAATTGGAATTCAGAAAAGAAAAGTGCTCGGACAACCTGCAACATAATATGCCATGTGTGTCTCTGAGTGTGTGTGTGTGCACATGTGTGTGTACATGTGTGCATTCACGGGCATGTGTATAAAAGCATTTATGTTGAGACAGGTCTCCAAATATATACCATAATGTATGTCATTAGAAAACCTTTTTAAGTCCTGTTGAGAATCAAAACAAGAAGCTTTCTTTTATTCTTTTGAATACCTATATACATAGCTTCCTTTAAATGACCATTATGATTTTGCTTGTCTGAAAAAACTGTGCTGATACAGACGATGCCAGTGATAAAAAAGATGCATACATGTACTGGGCCCGTTAAAGCTTCTTGTTTAATTTTCTTTCTCCAAATCACCAATGAAAGTGGAGTAGACTTCAATATTCCTGTGCAATTTCAAAGTAATAAGGTCTTTTCCTACAGATCTACTGAGGAGCAAAATATAAGACAATGACATTTTTCTTGAAAGAAGGAGCTCATAGACCACAACCTTCATTCTAAACAAAGTGTTTACTACACAGAAACTTTCTAAGGTTTTTCCTTTTGACAGTAATTTTAGGACCAAGTTAAATAATTTGCTATACAAATTAAAATCACACCTACAAGAAATGTTCTACAATCTCTTTCCTCATGTCCCTGATATTCACTCTTATTGTTTCCATTCTCTAAATCTATAGCTGATCAATCCACCCACCTCTAAGACCAAGAACTGGAAAAGCTGGGAAAGCAGAAAATATTAGCGAGTACCTAATTATGCAACCAAACAAGGGAAAATATCTAGGATCTAGGTGTGCAGTCCTCAAATAGATTCCAACTCTTGGTCTAAAAATAAGGAAGGGACTTGCAGTTTCATTTAAAGTTCTGTGTCCTATTCTAATATCAATCAGTTCAAAATTTAAATTAAAATTTTTTATTTACTCCAGTACAAATTATGTGTAGGAAATATTATTTCTTGAGGACTTGCTCTCCAAAGAAATAGGACAGTAGAGAATTGTTTGCCTTTTCCTAGCCTCCTTTGTGACATACAGAATAACATATTCTGCTAGCATCCATGACTGCTTAATTTACAAGTAAACTTGTAACAAACATGCCATAATTCTAAAATCATAACTTGGTGTTTTTCTTACTGTTTCCATACCAAAAGTTGTCACTAATGTGCTGCTTATGTCTGATCATACTAAAAGGATAGGATCGAAATCAGTTTCCTTTTCATTTTGACAGAATATATGACCTGCCAGACACCGGAGTATATTTTTCTGCTATATTTTCCCATAACCAGGTATTCCTCAAGCTATTCTTCTCATGAATCTTTTTTCTTTTATATTAACTACCATGAAGTTTGTCTCTCACCCACTTCATGGAAACATATAATTTTATTTCCCATAAACTAGAGCAATGTAAAAATGTTGCCAATTTATGTAACAATAGAACGAAAGATGTGTTCACCAAAATTCTTCACTTGTAGTAGATTCCAAATCTTTTTTTAGAAATGGATAAAAGAGCAACAGGTTGTAATTGTCAGGGTTATATCTGTCTTCTACATTACTAATAAGGATTATATGTTCCAAATTTTTCTCTGTAGGAAGGGTTTTACTTGTCAATATGAGATTTAAAAGAACAGTCAGGGGTTGGGCACTGATATCTCTATCTCAAGCCAATTTTAAAACATATGCATCAGGAATATCAGCTTCTGCTCCCTCCTCTCTATCCCTGTTGTAATTCTCTTAGTGCCTTCTATACTGCCATGAGCATCAAGATTCTACAATAAAATTCCCTGTGGACATCCATCACCTCTGCCTGAATCTCTCTTTAAAAGTGTTCCTTTTCAGGTTATTAAATTGCTATTTCCAATGTACTGATCACCTCTCTGTATATAATAGGAGGCATTTTTCTGAAAGGATTTCAAAGGTTTCATAGCTAAGGGGCCATTTTTCTTTGAAAGATTCTCTTTACTATCCAGTTTATCAAATCTTTGTTTTCTTATACCACTATTCTGAGTAGACTGAAATTTTACTCAAAAAAACTTTCTTCTAAAAATACAATAGTGTATAAACTTTTAGGATGAGGTGTTTTCTCACTTTCACTGAATCATTAGAATGAATTAATAGTGATAAAATAACTGTGGATTCTTATTCTCTCATTTCTCAACATTAGAAAATATAGTTTTCTTTTAAAGTTCTACATTGGCTTAAAATCAAAGAGAGAATCCTTTCTTGTTCTTTTCCTCTGACAACTCTCCACTATACATTTCCCCCCCCCCCAGGTTTGACCTGCTTTCTATTGAATGAGTTAATTAACTAGTGAATTCAATTCCATTTAGCTAACTCTGAGTATCTAGATACTGTGGCAGAGACAAGAATGATCAGAATGCCCTTTGCCCTCTAGGTATTTCTAATCTGAAGGGCAGGAGTGGGAGGATAAGATAAGGACCTCCTGAGATATTTTTCTAGCACAGGATCAAATAAGATCTTGTCTCTGCTTGAATATTTGCAGTGGCTCCTTGTTTTCTACAAAACATCCAGTTGAATTAAGACCCTTTATGATATTGAGCTGCAAGAGCTGCTTGTATATTTTGGAGATTAACCCTTTGTCCCTTGATTCGTTTGCAAATATTTTCTCCCATTCTGAGGGTTATCTGTTTGTCTTGTTAAAGGTTTCCTTTGCTGCGCAAAAGCTTTTAAGTTTCATTAGGCCCCATTTGTTTATTTTTGTTTTTATTTCCATTTCTCTAGGAGGTGGGTCAAAAAGGATCTTGCTGTGATTTATGTCAGAGTGTTCTTCCTATGTTTTCCTCTAAGAATTTTATAGTGTCTGGCCTTACATTTAGATCTTTAATCCATTTTGAGCTTATTTTTGTGTATGGTGGTAGGAAGTGTTCTAATTTCATTTTTTTACATGTAGCTGTCCAGCTTTCCCAGCACCACTTATTGAAGAGGCTGTATTTTCTCCATTGTATATGCTTACCTCCTTTATCAAAGATAAGGTGACCATATGTGTGTGGTTTTATCTCTGGGCTTTCTATCCTGTCCCATTGATCTCTATTTCTGTTTTTGTGCCACTACCATACTGTCTTGATTACTGTAGCTTTGTAGTATAGTCTGAAGTCCAGGAGCCTGATTCCTCCAGCTCCGTTTTTCTTTCTCAAGATTGCTTTGGCTATTCGGGGTCTTTTGTGTTTCCATACACATTGTGAACTTTTTTGTTCTAGTTCTGTGAAATATGCCAGTGGTAGTTTGATAGGGATTGCACTGATTCTGTAGATTGCTTTGGGTAGTATAGTCATTTTCACAATGTTGATTCTTCCAGTCCAAGAACATGGTATATCTCTCCATCTATTTGTATCATCTTTAATTTCTTTCCTCAGTGCCTTATAGTTTTCTGCATACAGGTCTTTTGTCTCCTTAGGTAGGTTTATTCCTAGGTATTTTATTCTTTTTGCTGCAACGGTAAATGGGAGTGTTTTCTTAATTTCTCTTTCAGATTTTTCATCATTAGTGTATAAGAATGCAAGAGATTTCTGTGCATTAATTTTGTATCCTGCTGCTTCACCAAATTCATTGATTAGCTCTAGTAGTTTTCTGATAGCATCTTTAGGATTCTCTATGTATAGTATTATGGCATCTGTGAACAGTGACACTTTTACTTCTTCTTTTCTGATGTGGATTCCTTTTATTTCTTCTCCTTCTCTGATTGCTGTTACTAAAACTTCCAAAACTATGTTGAATAATAGTGGTGAGAGTGGGCAACCTTGTCTTGTTCCTGATCTTAGAGGAAATGGTTTCAGTTTTTCACCATTGAGAATGATGTTGGCTGTGGGTTTGTCATATATGGCCTTTATTATGTTGAGGTAAGTTCCCTCTATGCCTACTTTCTGGAGGGTTTTTTTATCATAAATGGGTGTTTAATTTTGTCTAAAGATTTTTCTGAATCTATTGAGATGATCATATGGTTTTTATCTTTCAGTTTGTTAATATGGTGTATCACATTGATTGATTTGGGTATATTGAAGAATTCTTGCATTCCTGGGATAAACCCCACTTGATCATGGTGTATGATCATTTTAATGTGCTGTTGGATTCTGTTTGCTAGTATTTTGTTGAGAATTTTTGCATTTATGTTCATCAGTGATACTGACCTGTAGTTTTCTTAATATCAAAAAAACAAACAACCCATTCCAAAAATGGGCAGAAGACCTAAACAGACATTTCCCCAGAGAAGATATACAGATTGCCAAAAAAACACATGAAAGCATGCTCAGCATCACTAATCATTAGAGAAATGCAAATCAAAACTACAATGACGTATCACCTCACACTGGTCAGAATGGCCATCATCAAAAAATCTACAAACAATAAATGCTGGAGAGGGCGTGGAGAAAACGGAACCCTCTTGCACTGTTGGGGGGAATGTAAATTGATACAGCCACTATGGAGAACAGTATGGGGGTTCCTTAAAAACTAAAAACAGAACTACCAGATGACCCAGCAATCCCACTACTGGGCATATACCCTGAGAAAACCATAATTCAAAAAGAGTCATGTACCACAATGTTCACTGCAGTTCTATTTACAATAGCCAGGACATGGAAGCAACCTAAGTGTCCATTGACAGATGAATGGATAAAGAAGATGTGGCACATATATACAATGGAATATTATTCAGCCATAAGAAGAAATGAAATTGAGTTATTTGTAGTGAGGTGGATGGACCTAGAGTCTGTCATACGGAGTGAAGTCAGTCAGAAAGAGAAAAACAAATACCGTATGCTAACACATATATATGGAATCTAAAAAAAAAAAAAAAAAAGGTTCTGAAGAACCTAGGGTCAGGACAGGAATAAAGATGCAGACGTAGAGAATGGACTTGAGGACATGGGGAGAAGGAAGGGTAAGCTGAGACAAAGTGAGAGAGTGGCATTGACATATACACACTACCAAATGTAAAATAGATAGCTAGTGGGAAGCAGCCACATCGCACAGGGAGATCAGCTCCATGCTTTGTGACCTCCTAGAGGGTTGGGATAGGGAGGGTGGAAGGGAGATGCAAGAGGGAGGGGATGGGGGATATATGTATACGTATAGCTGATTCACTTTGTTATACAGCAGAAACTAACATAACGTTGTAAAGCAATTATACTCCAATAAAGATGTTAAAAAAAAGTACACACACACACACACACACACACACACACACACACACAAAAGACCCCTTATGATATGATACCAACATTCTCAGTGAAATCTACCTTTCTCTCCATTCTACTCTAATGTGACGTAAAATATGCCCAAACTTGGAACACTGTTTGACTTCAAATCATGCAAAAAATGTTGTAAGAGGAACAGCACCAAATTCAAAGTCATTATAAATGGTACGGAATGGATGCAATGGGCATATCAAAGCCAGAAACATCATATCTGGTTTGGGCATGGTGTTGGGGTAAAGAAAGACTTCATGAAGCAGGCACAAATCAGGTAAGGTTAGAATGATGGGCAGGATTTCAATAAACATTTATTGAATGCTTACTATATGCCAGACACCATGCTAGGATATGGCACAAGGGTGACAGAGAAGGTGGGGGGTGGTGACAAAGAAAGAGAGGTTGTTGGGCTTCCCTGGTGGTGCAGTGGTTGAGAGTCCACCTGCCGATGCAGGGGACACGGGTTCGTGCCCCGGTCCAGGAAGATCCCACATGCCGCGGAGCGGCCAGGCCCGTGAGCCATGGTCGCTGGGCCTGCGCATCCAGAGCCTGTGCTCTGCAAATGGAGAGGTCACAACAGTGAGAGGCCCGTGTACCGCAAAAAAAAAGAAAGGTTGAATTCCAGGCAGAGGGACGCACATGGGTATAATAACAGAAATCATGAAGTGCTCAGAAAACAACAAATGAACAATCTAGCTTGGCTAACACCCAAAGAACATATTAGAGAATAGTGAACCTTGAAAGAGATTACAGCTAACTTTTAAAAATCATTCATCAACATGTACTGTGCACTTGCCCTACATTCAAGACTTTGTTCCAGCACTCGTGAATACAAAGATGAGTAAGACGTAAAATCTGTGTACAGAGAATTATCAATTTAGGGGAGGAGAAAGACACAAATGCAAATGCTGATACCAAAACACAACCTCTAAGAACAATTCTCAAAGGACAATAAGTTCTGAGAACACAAAATAATTCGAGGCTAAGTCTCTCTGGAGGATCGGAGAGGGCTTCGTGGAAGAAGAGGAAGTTGAAGAAAGCCTTAAAAAGCAAGGAATGGTAATGGCGGGGGTTGTATCCTAGCAAAGAACAACACATGCCATGGCACAAGTAAAGCAAAGTGTAAAGCATGTAGGGGACCCAATTTATTAGCTCCGACTGTAGCGTAGGCTACAACAAAGATCAAGAAGATTGGAAAGACAAGTTGAGAGTGGGGGAAGATTGGAGAAGAATCATGGAGATCAATGAAGGCCAGATGAGGATATGGAAATTTAATAGGCAACAGCCAGGCATACAAGTTTTTGAGCAGGAAGATAATGTTACAGCAAAAAACTAAACAGGAATGTCAACAGGATTGGAACTATGGCAAATAAAACTTAATGTCAGATGAATATAAAAGGCATTATTCTTAGTGCACCATTCAACTTATATTTATTTTCTACATTTGCTCAAAAACAGGATTAGAAATCATTGTTTGTTTTATTCTATTTTTATAATTATACTATTTAGATTCACATGCACTTTGAAACAACTAATATTTTCAGTGTAAATTTTGACATAAAAGACTGAATGGGCAACATGGAGAACTTTAAAAAGAGCATGTTGGGACAATGTGTCTTTTGCATTGTCTCTTACAAAGAAAGGGCCCAGACTAGTTAACAGAAAGCCCTCCTTTCTTTGGGCATCCCTACCTCTGTGGGTGCCTTTTGGTTTTTGGTTTCATGAATTCAAAAACTAAAAGTTATGCAGCTGAAATGAACAACGACCCTACATAACTTACCAGCTGAGAAAAACAAAAGAATTATTCCTTTTTTTGGAGATAGGTTTAAAATGCTTTTCACAGCGCAGTGCAAGAAGAAAATTCCTTACTGGCAGGATAAGTTTCTAAATATAAATTAATAAAGAGACCTTCTAGATTGAGTTGTTATGAGTTGGGTTCTCTGAAGAACTCATGTTCCTTAGAGACATTGACCCACAGAGCAAATAGGTCAGATCCTAAAGTATAAAGATATAACAGCCATCTTGAAGAATTTCTTAAACAAATGCAACTTATTAATATAGTTGATATAAAGAAAATATGCTAAACGACAGTACTTAAATGATGTGATTCAGGTAGAATTTTTTCAAGTAGAAATACTATATATTGGTTCAGGTTTTTTTTTCCCCCTATTCTTTTCCAAACTCTTTTCCCATTTTGGTTATTACAGAATATTGAGCAGAGTTCCCTGTGCTATACAGTAGGTCCTTGTTGGTTATCTATTTTAAATATTGCAGTGTGTACATGTCAATCCCAAACTCCCAGTCTATCCCTCCCTCTAACCCTTCCCAATACTGGTCCAATACTTCCCAATACTTAGTTAACAGGAAGTAATGTATAATACTTGCCCCTAACATTTGTAAAATAATTTACAGTGTTCAAAAACTTTCACAAATATCTACTCAGTCACCATGTATTGACTGAGTGTCCAATACATAAAATACACTTATTCAGAACAACAAATAATTCTGACCTTGTTCTGTAGGAAATGGTTCTCCAAGTCCACCTTTTCAAATTGATCAGGTATCTGTTGACTGATGCCATTGAAATTAATTGGAAATCCCTCACAAACTTCCCAACTAAGAAAATAAAATATTTAATTGTTCTTGTTAGAATAAAATTAGTTTAATTTTAGTACTCTTTAGCATAATAATTTATGCATCTTATACTCTTCTAGTGAGAGAAAAACCAGTGTATAGTCCATAGTCTTTTTAAATGGAAATTTGTAAAGTATCTTTGTATTTATCATTGGGAAAGGGAAGGCTTTAAATTTTTCCCTTACAATTATTTTTAATACTGGGGGGGGGGGGGGATTCTATGCCTAATTGATTATTAATAGAACAAAGACACAAAAAATAATTTTTAATCTTACAGAATCACTCATGGTGGAGACCATCATCATTATTAAAATTACAGTCTAAATACACTGGTCTATAAATAATAAAGGATGCTTTTATAACGGTTGTGTTAAGAACATTAGTTTGGTATTTTTAAGAGTCTTTTAAGAGGCAGCACGTTCTAGAGGGTACATGGACAAACCACAAACTGGAAGGGTTGGTCTCATTCTTAGCTCAGCCAAATCACTTATTTTAAAAGTGAGCCAATTCTTATCCTAAAGAAAATCACCTAGATCAACGCTGATATGTTAAGATATACCATATAGCATGCTATTCAACAGAAAACAGTTCTGGGAATGGTGATAGTATTTTTTTTTCAGTAGTCTGAGAAATATAAATAAGAGTATGATGACGACTAAGATTTCCAATGATCCGCTTGAGAGTATGCAAAGAAAATTCAAATGGAATCCAAAAATTAAGTAAATTATCTTCAAATTAGTTTGTGCTCAATAAGGGAAGTTTCACATTGTTATTCTTAGGGAATTAGATCTAATTTAAATCCATTCATTAAAACAGTATTCATTGCAATTAAGGAAGTAAAATTAAGAAGCAGTACATAAATTAAAAATTAAACTCCTAACTAAAGACTGAAGTGAAAGGCAAGTCTAACAGCTTAGAGAAAGATTACTGCATGTGAAATAAATCTTCTCATAAGTGAAAATGCTTATAAAAAAGAGTGCTGAGTTATTTTCTGTCTATAAAGAGAGAAAGACAAAACATTATAATCTTGTCTGGAAAGTGCAGGCAATCATTGGGGGATGGAGAAGACCAAAGAGTCTGTCTTTCTAGACATATTTAGCAATAGGTTGACACTAGCTAGACTGAGTGACCTCATCAGACTGCTTTTCATTCTCTGGATCTGCCCTCCATTTCAGCCTTTTTACCTGTATATTAAGGAAAGTTATAATTTGTTAAATTACAAAATATTAAAGCTAGATGGGACCTTATAGATACATCACCTAATCCAACATGGTATCAGTATCATGCTGCAATGTCCAATATGGTAGCCACTAGCCACATATTCCAACTTAAATTAAAATTAATTTAATTAAACAAAATTTAAAATTCAATTCCTCAGTCACACTAGTCACATTTCAAGTGCTCAATGTCATAAAGTTTGTTTCCATCATCAGAGAAAGTTCTATTAGACAGCGCTGGATAGAGGTTAAGCCCTTAGTTCTTAAGAAAGACAATCTGGGTTAGAATCCTAGCTCTATCACGTACAAGTTGTGTGACTGGGCAAATGACTTTGCCCTTCCATGGCAGAGTTTCTGTCTCCTTAAAATGGAGTAATAATAAGCTAATAAGCAGTGATGGGATTAAAATAATTGTTTTGAGGATGAAATAGGTTCTTACCCAATTCATTTAGAGCTGTGCCTGGCCTACGGTCAACACTCAATAACTGCTGGGTTTTATTATTAACCCACAGGAAACTGACACCCACGTGCTCACAGACAATCATGAGCAGATAATGGGGTTAGTGCCCAGATCTTCTTTTTTTTAAAAAAATATTTATTTTGGCTGCACAGGGTCTTAGATGCAGTATGAGGGATCTTTAGTTGCGGCACGCGGGATCTAGCTCCCTGACCAGGGATCGAACCCGGTCCCCATGCACTGGGAGCACAGAGTCTTAACCACTGGACCACCAGGGAAGTCCCAGTGTCCAGATCTTCTAACTCCTGCTCTTCTTACTATGCCACCAAGCCTCCAGCATATTGCTTTTGTTTTCAATTTATCATCATCAAATGAGATGCTTAAACATGAACACTCATATGAGAAAACATATTAATATTTTAATTATTCCATTCAAAACTATTAATTTAGAAACATCCACTAAAAACAATTTTTACATTTCAAATAAAATCATTACCTTTGCAAAGCAGAAAGTATACTATGCTCATTGCCCCATATGTTTTTTAAAACTCAAGGAAAATTAATAAGTCTTTTAAGTACTAGCTCATTATATCATGAAATAAGTCAATAAACTAAATAATTGCTTATTTAAGATGATTTAAAGAACATCTTTTAGTGTTTAAATCTCACTCTGGGAAAAATGAGTTAGGTGATTCAGATTGCTGTAACTGAACACCTGTTAATTTACCTGTCACATCCCAGTAGCAGAACAGCATTAGGATCCAAGAAGGTTTTATATGCGACTGTAATGCCACCTCTGGCAAATGCAGTCACCTGGTCAAAGGTCAAACCCAAAACAGGGTTTAGTGGAGATCTGAAAAATGGAAAAAACATCAAATCTATCTGCAAAATTATACAAACACTGAAATTTGAGTACATATAAACAATAAAACATACCATATCCATGTCTAATAAAATCCAGAAATAAGTGAATTTCCTATTACACAGCACTATTGTTGGTATCCTATACTTATACCTGACACGCACATTTTAGTTTATTTGTTTGATTTATAATATGTGAAGGATAGTTGCAACACATGTAATTTTTAAAAATAATTTCAATAATAAAAGCGAAGTATTTAGTTGAGAAAAACAACCAACTGTCATTCCTATAATGTTCATTTTTCATGTATAACTACAATGCAATACACCCATGGTGATCTTTGGAGCTTATAATCAAATTAATCCTTCATATTTGGCTACAAACAACTATTTTTTTGTGAGCTCACTGAATACTATGCTGATTTGATTTGTCATATTACATACTGTTAGGTACATTGTTTTAAGTTAATTTAATTATATGAGAATTAAAATCAAATGGAAAACAGATCTTAAATAAAAAGAATGGCCACTATGTCAATTATGAGCCATTTTGTTTTTGAAATTGGTGACAAACACTTGCTCTTCAACTTTAGAATCATAGGACTCAATCACATCACCTGTGTAGTATTGCCAAAAATATTTAAACTGAATCTAATCATGAGAAAACACTCACACAAGTCTAGAATGTGGGACATTCTACAACAAAAGTGCCTGAACTCTTCAAAAAGAAAACCAATGTCATCAAGAATAAAACAAAAGATGGTGGAATAGTCTACATTACAGAGAACTAAAGAAAATAACTAAATGCAACAGATGAAGCTTATCTGGATACTGGATTACAAAAAAAGCTCTAAAGCAGATTTTGGGTAGTATGAACATAGATTACATATTAGACAATATTATATTATTGTTGACTGTGTTAGATATTATACTGTGGTGATAGAGAGAACATCCTGTTCTTCAGTTATGTGACCTGTAGCATTTAGGAGTAAAACTTCATGATTGTGTGGAATTAATTCCAAACAGTTCAAAAGAGAGAGAAAGGAGACATAAGAGAGGTAAAACAAATATGGCAAAATCCTTAAATTGCTGAACCTAGGTGAAGGATATATAAATCTTCATTGTATCAAATTTTCTGTAGATTGGATATTTTTCAAAATAAAAATTGGGAGAAAAACAATTAAAGGACTCAAAATAGAAGGAGATATTGGCAAAATCATCTTTTGCAAACGAGTAACCTTACCCCCCATATCAACATATATTAGACATGTTAGAATTACTCCCTGAAAATGAATATCATTTACTTAGTACATATTGCACATTTTCTCAATTTTATCCTTTTCTCAATATATTTTAACTAGATGGAAATAACTTTTTTGACATTAATTTAGAAGTTTCAATAGTAGCAAAATGCTATAATGGTTCCCTAATGCCTCATATTGGATTCAAAACCAGAAAAAAATAATACATTATGCTATTAAAATAGCTATGATATACAAACAAATATACACACTTATAAATTCCGCCAACTACAATCCTCAGTTGATTTTAGAATATTCCAGATACTTAGTAATTTTTGTTACTTCACAAATATGATCCAATTAACCAAGAACAAGTGTTTGATCATATTAAAATACTGTATTATAGCAAACATCATTAAAAACATCATAATTAGTCAGTCACTGCTTTCACTTTAACAATGATATTTAAGAAGAAATTATTAGATACATTTTATTAAAGCCTTTCCTTGTAATTGGAAGAGCTTGCTAAATTATACAAGAATTCTTGCCGCTTTAAAATTCATCGCTATTTTTATCATTGTAAAAATAATTCTCACAATGTAATTAAATTATATTTTGAAATCTGCCTATAGAAGAAGCACCATTCCTTACAGATATTTTTTTAGTTTTATAAATTACACAGCATAAGATACTAGTAAGCATTTTAATTTTACTCTAATGGGACAGATGAAAGATTTTGTAATATGCTACCCACAACAAATCCTACCAATGTCTCCCAAAACCTGCATGGATTTCTGAGTAGATTAGTTCTCTTTGAAATTTTGACTATTAGAATATACAGTAAATCTAATCATCTCCTAGTTCTGTCTATGCTATTTTTGTTAAAATTAGTGTATAATCAATTATATTCTACAAGCAATATTTCCCCTATTCTGTTCTACAGATAAAGAGCTAAAAATGAAACAAAACAAAAAGATTAAAAGTAGACAGAAAAGTGTGTTTAAGTTTCCTGACAAGCAGCTTCAGAGTTCATCTGGATGTGTCCTGTCAAAATATGCATAAATTTCCAAGATATTCCACACAACAGCCAGGCTCATCAGTGCCTGTAGACTGAAGCCTTTTTCTTTTCTTGGGAACACAGATAATTTTATGCAGGAATTTACCAATCTACAAAAATTTACACAATGCTCAGTAATAACCAGTAATTATTGTGGGATAATGTAAGGTGCTTTTGAGGAACATAACTTTGATAGGATAGAGTTTACAAGCTTTACCAATTTATCTTTGGCTGTCCTGTCATTGGAGCTTAAAAGGTTAAGACTTTGTTTGTGAAAACATAGAGAGATAGTGGGGAATCATGTTGTCTACAGCTTCATAAATCTTGCTTAAGATCCTTTTCAATTACCATCCATTTCTCCTTTAAAAAGGGACAAAAAAATAGAGGAGTGGAAGCAGGTCAGGGCAGTGTGCGACAATGACAGTGTGATGGGCTTGGGCCCCCGTGGCGTTTCCATCTGCTATCATTAAGGTGACTACTCAGACATGAACAAATCCCACTTGCTGTGCTGACAGGCAGACTTCAAGAACTATGACAAGGCATTAAGACAGAAAGTCAGGGGGGTGGGGGAAAGAGAGAGAGAGATGTCATATCCCACAAACAATACTGCCTCACAAAAAAAAAATGCCCCTGGAATTTTACTGGAATTCAAAATAATTTTTTTTTATAAAGGGTGCAACTTGGCTTCTCAACTCTCCTTTTAAATTAGCTTGTCCCAGAAAGATTGAGAATAAACACCTTGCTCCTACCTGTATGCTTTACCATAAGAGACCCAAATTTTTTGCTCATTCTTCAGCGAAAGTGGATTCTTAATTTCTTGACCGTACTCGTCAAAAAGCCGGATTGAAGAAAAATTGAGGCCTGGTGGGCTGATGGAAGAACCTTGAAGTCTTCGATGAATCTTGAAAAGTAACTGGTGGTGGGGAGGGGTGTGGAAATGAAGAAGAAAAAGAAATAACATAAAATGTGAACACCTGTGATAAACTGTCTCTACTCTGTAACAGATGAAGTCCAAACAAATGATAATTAAATTCATACAGAATGTTAAAAGAAGTGTGAAATGATGGCAATGTTTAGCTCGGTGTAAAGTAACAAAATGAGCATGGGCTTTTAACCAGCAGGGGGTGCCACAGGCTCGTGATTGAGCTCTGACCCCTTGGCACGGGGACGGAAAGCAGATGTGACAGTCTTACAGAAAGAGCATTTAGCTTCTACACGCGGTACCGGTCCTCTTTGATAAGGGTTATGCTTTTCTTGTCTGAGCTACACATTCTGTTGGGTCCTTCCAGGGTATGTTCAAGTTTTACAATCAGCAATCTCCCATCACCGAGACTAACCTCAGGTAACCAACGGTGGAACAACCCACCACTGACAGGACTGCAAAAATAAACATGACTTTCCGGCTTACGCCAGCCAATTCACTTAGAAGAACTCTTCCTGGATGTATTAATTAAGAGCTCTGCAGAAGCTTGCGAGCGGCTTCAATAGTGGATGTTTTCAAGTTTTAAATAAGATGTAATCGAAGTGTGAAGTATGAAATGCTATCATTTAATATGTTAAATAATAGCATTGTCTGTGTTTGCTTCTTATACTTAGAATCTCTAAATTATCAAGATATTTCTAACTGAAGGCATATTTCAAATAAAAGTAAATCCGGCTGAACCGTGTTGCACATGGACTTTTAAAAGATATTTTTCATCATTATCTGTCACCTTTGAGTGTTTAGGCCTCTGCTCTTTCCCGCTCTGTGCCCCAACTATCCATCACTCTGTTTTCCCCCCAGCCTTCTGTCACAGGCTTCCTTTTCTTCTCTGCCTTGTCAGTTCTTGTGTCTCTCAATTTCTTGTTACTCTGTAATCTCGGCAGGGATGCGGATATAGTTGTAGCCTTTTCTTGCCTAGCTGCTGTTCAGGGTGCCTTTTTTGCTCCTTCTATTAATTCCCATTGAAGGTATATTGAGACGTGCTAAATGCCGAGGCCCAGAGAAAAGGAAAGGTGCAAGCCTGTCATATATCTCCAGTTTCCTCACCTATTGGCTGTAAACTCTTTACCGAGTAAAATATTTTCTATGACCAGCAACTATATCTATAGAAGGCTTAAGGCTTAGGCTTTGCCCTAATTAGGGATAAATAATCTTATCTCCAACTTCATCAGCTTTATGTTGTTTCTATCAGCTCTGCACTGACCAGATATTTTAGCCTTGAGCATCAGAAGGGCTGAAAATGATGATACATCTTTCCTTTCATTAAAGTTAATACTTTTCATCCAGCATAGCCAAGTCCTTTGAGTTAAAAATAATGATTACTATTCTCTTTAGGAATATAATAGGCAACGTGTTAGAATAGTAAAAATCTGTGTTTTGTTTTTTCACTGGAACCACAAAAAGGTTTGAAATCCATGGACTGTATTTATAAAGCCCTACATTTATTTCTGTGTGGTCTCAGCCCTTGAGCTTATTTTTTGTGGCTTTGCTATTATTGCAGAAAACAAGTAATGTTGATCATTTTTTAAATCACAGTGATTTTGCTTTATAGGCATCTCCTTTTTTGTAAAGGGAGAAGATATAAAAAATTTAAGGCCTGATCCAGGAGAGAAATAAGCACACAAAGAACAGGAGTGTGTGGTAGAAGGGATGTGAACACCTGACCACTTAGCCAAATTCACTTTCACAGGAGTTGCATTGCAATCTCTATTTTCTCAACTTGGCAACACACTGCATTTTAGGTGTTCAAAGATGAGCATGCGACAGCCTACAGGAGGTAAGGCCTCAATGTCTTTCATCTCTAGGTCATTGGTGAGGGCTGGGCTATAGTGACCAAAAACAGTGATAATCTTCACCCATTTATCTTTAAAGTTGTCATCACCAGGCCTTTATAGGATAAGAATTTGTTCAGGGACCTGAGAAGAGTGTGAAACATCTTAGGCTAGTGATTGAGACAAGTGTGCACCAAGGGAACAGTCGTCTTTGGGTGTCACAAGGGCTCTCCCAAAAAGCTTTATAATGCCCCTAGTTAAAGGTTTTCCCCCGATTTTCTTGCATAGAGATGCAAACCACAGATCAATTTCAGTGTGCCATTAGCCAACAAAAGCTTTCTACAGAATAATATCTTCCTGTGTAATCTAACATAAATTCCATCTTCAATTTTTTATATGAACCAAAAAGGACAATATTCTAATGTGGAAAAGAGGAATTTACAGGTAGAGCATTCTAGGAAGCCTTTTGTATCATGGTGATGTGTATAGTCAGGGATGTGATGGTAAAAGAAAACCAGCCAAGGCTATTTATCATTCCCTCTCTAATCAATCAAGGTAGCACTTCCCATCTCTTCTGAGCTCAGCTAGTGATCAGATGATCAGCTTTTGTGACTGACTGTGAAGTCCAGGTAATGGATACCACCAGGGAGAGGTAAGTCTGAGGGTACTGAACCGAAGGGGGGAAAAATGGAGCAAGTTTCTGAACAAAGGTCAAGTAACAGAGCCCAAAACACTGGTGTGCGCTCAGGCGAATAACCCCAATTTGTAAACAACAGGGTATTCAGTGGCCTTTCATGCAAGACAAAGACCCAAAATAAAGACCCTGAACATATTGGTTCTGCTTGAGAAACATCCCAATTGTCTGGAAAATAGGAAAAGGTAAGAATGCCTAAGATAAACCATCTGGACTTGCTCACAACGAGCACAGGAGAAGACCAAGGCTGTGTGTTAGTTGCTCAGGGTCTAGGGCTTGGAAATACCCTAGACGCAGAACACACCCTCCACTGGAAATCATGTCACTTCTTTTCAATGTGTAAACAAGAGGTCAATTCCAGAGTCCAGTGTAGACAGATTTTCAAATAAAAGCATAATGAAGATTAAGATGCTATTAAGTAAGAGGTCAGGAGTTAATACTATACTAAAGCTGAGAACCTCCGGAATCCAGGAGTCAAGCTTGAAACTATACATCTTTACAGATCAGCAAACGATTCATCTTTTCTGAACAACTTTAAAAATGTAATTGTCTAAATTAACTACAAGTAACTTGGAAGGTGCTCACAGTCATAAATGAATAGTCAGTACACTCACTCTTTCCATCATATAGCCAGTTTGAATTGGGCTATTGGGCCCCAGATCTTTTTCACTGATACAAACAGAGATCTCTCCAGTGTCTTTACCATTTTCAAATATCTGAAAAATAAGCACATTCAAAATTAAAAATAAATACACGCACACATATACATACATATAAATACATATATAAACACAAGCAGTCCTGATTTTGCACAGTACAGTGCCGACTGAAACTCACGCATATGGTTAACTGTGTAAAGCAAAGATGGCCGGTATGAGCACATGCGAGTAATTGGCAATGAAAAGCAACAGGACTAGAATAGTATAAAGGAAGTCCCTTGATTCTCCTTTTGGTTTCAGTGTCCTTAACCTGACTGTCATTCCCTGCAATCTTAAAATAGAAGGAAACACAGACATTAAAGGAGGAATCACTGACTACACCGAATGCTTACATGGGGCAAGCGTCAGGGAAAGGTCAGCTAGCAACCAATTAACTAGCTCATTTCATTCTTTTTGAAGAACATAAAGCCATCAATTATGTAAGGAATGTTTAATTTATATTTAAAATATATCAGTGTTCAGCTCATCTTTTGACTCACTGAAAGGAAATCCAACCTGACAAATGTATTGCATAAAGGTACAATGAAAGCCATCCATTTTAAGTGCATATAAGCAACAAGTTGCTGAGAACAGAGATAAAATTCAGAACATTGCATTATGCAATGCTCATCTGGAAAAAGAAAATGCTAGCTAACGTTCTGGTCAAAGGTATCCAAATAAACCAGTCCCAAAGGAAGCCTCCACTACAGTGAACACCGTCCTCTGACCATGCTGAGGGCCCACATGGGGTGTGTCATTCACCAGGCAAGAGAGAATGCAGGCCGATAGAGGCTTGATGAGTAACGTAAATCCTTGCTTTTTACTGTATTTTTTTCTCAAAAGTTCTTTTCTTCCCTTTCTGATAGACCTATCACATCAGAGTAACCATTTTATTTATTTCTAGTGCTATCTCCAGAGAAGATAATTTGGGAGAATATTTTATTTAAATACAAGAAAGAAAACCATCTGTTTTACTTCTGAGACAGTTTGAGAGTTATTTAATTAGTCCTAACCTGGTTTAGGAAATAATGTGCTTCAATAGCACTTCCTCAGGCTTTAGGCAAAAAAAAAAAAAAAAAAAAAGGTTTAAAAAAAGAGTAACAATGTTTAAGAACGGTGGGATTTTCTCCACTCTGTGCTTTTCATGGTACTGACAGCCTAGTGGAGATGGTACAGCTGTCAGCCTTGGAGCTTTGATGCTCCACACTCTACAGCAGCTTTTGCTAAAGGGGATTTTTTAAACCTCTTTTCTGAGAAAAGATACAATTCTGAGCAAGAAATCTCTCTACTTTAGCCAGGAACTTTGTAAACCCAACTGTTGCCTACAAACCTATGGGAAATAATGTGGGAGGAGAAGCTTACTGTCCCAACAATCTCTTCAGGGCCCTCTTAAACAACAGAGCCATTTAGCAATTAGGTTCACAATTCTAGGCAGATCGCATTCTGCAAGGTTAGTGTTGACAAAGGCTCGGTTTGGAGAACTTATTGATGTTCCTTTGTCAAGACGTGCTAGATGTGGAACTGGAGTGCAGCAAATTATATTCTAGAAAATAGCTGTGTGAGTGCTGTCAAACTGAGAAAGCAAAAAGGACCTGGACAACACCTAAGACCTTCATTAGCTTACTGCTTTCTTCACTACTGTTAATAAGCCTTCCCTTCTATGTCCAGAAAAGAGTGTTCTCAAGAAAAAAAAAAAGGCTCTGGCCTCTAAAAGCCCTATGAGGGCATAAGGAAAAAAGAGGTGCTTTATTGTTTAAGTAAAAGTTTAGGAGTTTAAGTGAAAGAAATCTGCCCTCCACTAGTCATTCATATAATGTTTTTTTTTCTGTATTTCTACAAAAGTAAAAATTCCCCAAGCCGAAATTCTATGACATTCTGCTTTTCTTAAGGTTCAGCTCCTATTTTTAAGGTCTGTATCACTATGACCATTTTTTTTTAATCTAAGTATTCTATTTTTTTCTTCCTTTGCATGAGAAGTATTTTTATTTCTATTGTCCAATGTCTAAACAAAGATAGCTCTCTAAACAGAGTTTATATAGGAAAATAAAAAATAGTCTACCTTTATTTTCCTGCTGCCTAACCCTTGGCTTAAGAAAAACCAACTGCTTCCTAGTGGCTATCTGCATGCCATTACCTCCTTATAGTTCTAAAACTAAATTCTCACCCTTGAAGTAGGGTGATACAAAAAGCCAGCTAAAGGCTAGTCTTGAGTCCCTAGCTGAGGAGTAATGCAATAGAATCTAAAAGAAAAAAAAGGGGGGGATCCAGATCCTTTCAAAAACATTGTAGCTAATGACTATTGAAAAAAATACCTATAAATAGGAATTTACTTCTATGCCCTTAGTTACACAAAGTACAGAGTTTCTAGGAGGAGTTTCCCATGAACTGCAGTCTTTTTACTTTCCTTCATGTCAACAATGACTTTTCTTCAGCAGAATTAAATTAGGTTAACACCAATGTTTCACTGTAATGTTGTTAATCAATTCTTCATTCAACAAATATTTATTGAGTGCCTACTATGTGCCATCCACTGCTCAAGTGCTTAAGATATACCAGTGAACTAAGATTCCTGACAGAACAAGTAAGTAAATCATATAGCAAGGTCAGGATACATCCAGGTCTGTGAGGTCTGAAGTTTATACAACTTGGTGGGCCTTCATTAACAAAAAAAAAATGCAAAATTACAAATGGAAAACTAGATACAAAATATTTATTTAAAACGAGAAATTACAATAATTTACACATATTAAAAAGCTCACACATAGCAAAAAACATGACAAAATCCAGAAAAAGTCACAAAATATTTTCATTAATTTACTATCCAATGCACATTTTTTGGCTGAATTGTCTTCAATCACCTCTTCATTTGGTAATCTTGTAACATTTTCTATAAGGAGAATAGGAATATAATTCCATCTTCCCTCTTGCCTGGTTAATCAAAAAATTTCTATTATTGATTAGAAAAATTTCTCTCAACTACACAACTTGGTTGGTCATTTCATAAAAATTTTTAGGACTGATGTCAACTTTGGGAAAAGCTTGATAGTTTACTTCAAAATATGAGCTGTAAAATGTGGAAGGATTTTCTACAAGTTACTTGACTTTGTTAATTTCACACTATGTTTTTCCTCCACCACCCATATACTTTTGGTGACAGGCACTCTAGTCCACAGTCAAAAAGCAATACACTCTATGGCCAGCAGGTAGTAGCCATCTTCCTAGAAGCTCTTCCCATACCAGGGTGGCTTAGCCCTAACTGAACTACGATACAGGGAAATGACTGCACACCAGTAATTACATCCCACTATGCTCAAACTAAATGTATCCTCAACTCAACTTCCCCTTAGCCAGACCTCAAAAATGCCTGCAACCACTTCAGCTCCAGCTGGTGCAAGGGAAAACCTGACAGAGAGGAAGTTGGAGTGGAAACAGACAATGCTCTCAGTCAATTGTAGTTAAAATATATTATATTTGCAAATTTTACAGAAACATGTGGCCATGTGAACACATTGCTAGGGCCTCTCCCAGGGTTCTGGAAGGGGCCTAAGCAGGAAAGGGGCCTTGAAACTTAGGTACATGGGTATCATGGTAAACGCACCTTGGAGGAAGTTAGAAGGTGGCAAGTGCCATGTAAAGAGGAAGAAATATAGCAGAGAAGGGATATAGGGCCTAGGATCAATGAGTGGGATGGGTGGTGGTCGCCATATGAAGCAGGTGATCAGAAAAGGCTTTCAAGAGAGGAAAGATTTGAGTAAAGACTTGGAGGTGAGAGAGTCAGCCAAGCAGATAGCTGGCAGAAGAGCACTGGAGGCAGAGGGAGAGGCTAGAGCAAAGAAACTAAGGCAGGAACGTGCCCAGTATGTTCCAGGAACTACAAGCAGGCTGGTGTGATGGGAGCAGAGTGAGAGAGAAGAAGGGTAAGTAACGTGAAATCAGAGGGTTAAGGGGTGGGCAGCAAAATGGGGGATCCTTGGAGAGACTGGAACAGAGCAGTAACAGGATCTGACTTAAAAGGAGCATCGGGGCTGCTGGGTGGAGAGTAGACTCCAGGGAGCAAAAGTTATCCGAAGGGTGAATGACTGTGGCTCAGAACAGAGTATTAACAATGGACTTGGTTATAAATGGTCAATTTCTTTCATTCATTCCAGAGTAATTTGTTCATTAGTGGGGTTGGGAAATAAAATTTGTAGCTAGGCTAATATTTCTGGGCCCTGACGTCTGCATCTATGGATGTAAATAAATCAACCTAAGTATAACTTCATATGTAGTTTCTGTGAAGGCACAAAAATGTTTACAAACTATCAAAAGAACTGTATTTACTGTGAAGATTTTATAGAGGCAGTGACCAAAACGTAAACCACGCGGGGGGAAGATGACTTGAATACGATGTGGTTCTTTGACCAGTTTGTCTGGCATCATTTATGACACCTATTTAAGGACTTGTATAAGGCCTAGTTCAGTGCCATTATCGGCCTTTAATGCTATAAGTCTGGTTAAGAGCTAGCTGTCGGGGACCAGCAGGTTCCCAAACTCTCTATAACGGCTGGACAGACCACCCAGGAAGCTCTTCTGTGCGTGAGTGGAAGGCCAAACACCTAAGCTTCAAAATGCCTCAGGAGGCAATGCTGTCAAGAGGCAATAATAGGAAAATGACACCGCAGTGTGTTGCCAAAAGTTGGGAGGCTGTACGGTAACAGGATTTACTACTAGAGGTCTGGTGAAGGAAAGGAATATAAAATAGCCCCACAAAGCTATCTGGCATACTTCAGGTGAAATAATTAAATAAGTTGGGAAAAGGTTAGCTTACATGTTGTCTTGGATTAGGGTCCCCAGGAAACAGACTCTGGGACCAAAATTTACCTGCGGGAAGCTTCCTGCGGAGCGTTCTCAGGTACAACACAGGTGAGGGGAGTGAGGAAACAGGAGTGGGCAGAGGGAGAAGGTAAACTGTGATGTAGTTGCAACAGAGGCCTCTGGTGGGAGCTCTAGACCTGGGATGGCCCCTCAGAGCTGTCCAG